TTAATAATGTATCTTAACATGTAAGACGGTGAGGAGTCCTTAACCAATTTCTCCGCAGGGAATCGTGTGAGGGCTTCAGCTTCAGAAGGCTTCGAGGTCAAGCTATTTTGCGTCACAAGTATATGTAGATACCTTCTGAAGAATTTTGAAAGACTATGGTTCCACAATTTTAGTTTGGCTTCCAGAAATAAAAGTATGAGGGGGAAGAATCAGAATGATAAAGAGAACAGAAAAATCCAGATTTAAGCATCTGAAATTTTTTAAAAGAACTTTCAGAATAATTGAGTCAACGGGTGTTTATAAAGCTTCCTCTTTGCTAGAGGAAACAAATCGAATGTTTTTTAGATCTCACCGTGTGTTCAGCTTTGCAGGAATAACTGTAAAGGAAATGCTAGCAGGATGCGAAACGTAGTGTGTACCTGGTGTAACTGTTTCCTGTTTGCTGAAGGTTCACAGGTCAAATTGTATTCGTGCAGCTTGAAAGTCTCAGCTGAAAAATGTTGATTTATACCTAGTTTATACTCAAGAGTTCACATTAAATTTTTCATCATAAAAAATGTATCGCTACGCGAAATGTTGGTATGACCGCCGTTCCCTGTGACTAAGTCCTTCGTCTAGTTTTAAATGTTTTTTTTTCACTCAGATTCCCGTCTGCTGTGACAAACAGATTGACTTTCTCGAGGTCACGCTTTTGAAGATTCAGTGCAGTCAATTCTTCTAGCTTGAGATATTTAGTTGATGTGTTTTAGAAAAGAAAATGTTGAAAAGAAGTAGGCTTGTTTGACATAGGAACTCAGTTTCTTAAACCATGTCTGTAGGGGTTTTCGTACCTTATAATAAATTAATATAAAAGTTGTTCACGTCAGGAAATTAGGGCTGAAAGAAAACGTTTATCAGAGGAATGATTAGAAAAAATTATGCTTAATGTGTTTTGATGATAAATAGATATATGACGTTTCTATGGTTTATGTTTGACAAGCAACTTTTCCTCAGTTCACCGCATTTGCCGTTGTGAGAGAAATGTGAATTAGACATTTTACTATCTTTTTCGTAGATATCCAGTCCCATAAACTCAACAGAAATAAGCGAAATGTCAATAATGAAACAGAAGATTTTCAGAAAGAGAAAAAAATGGCCAAAATCAACAAACTTTTACTTCAACTCTGTCACTCAAAGGATTCCACCTGCACGTCAGGTCCACCAGGCCCTCCCGGTCCACCTGGACCGT